TTCACATATATATTGTTCTCCATCTTTTAAATTTCACGTCAATATATTTTTTTTTTAACTTGAGACTAACAAAGGGCGACAACCAAGAATTTTTAAGAGTATCCGCTGAGTCTAGTGGCACACACCTATAATACCAGCAGCTCAGGAGGCTAAGGCAGGAAGATCACAAGTTCAAAGCCAGCCTCATCAATTTGGCAAGGCCCTGAGCAACTTAGTGAGACCTGTCTAAATAAAATATAAAAGAGCTGGGGGGCTGTGGCTGTAGCTCAGTGGCAGAGCAGTTGCCTAGCATGTATGAGGTACTGGGTTCAATCCTCAGCACCACATAAGAATTTAAAAATTAAAAAATAAAAAATTTTTTAAAAGTTAGGGATGTGGCTCAGCGGTTAAGCACCCCTGGGTTCAATCCCCAGTTCCAAAACCACTACAGATACCACAGATACCAATTATCTGCACTGACTATCTGTGTATGCATACTAACACGTGCGCATACACACACACGCGCGCGTGCACTATCATCAAATTTTACACGTTTAGGGGTATAGCTCCAGTGGTACATGCAGCACATATCTAGCATGTGCAAAGGCCTGGGTTCAAACCCTAGCACTGCAGGGTGGGTGGAAGAAACATTAAAATAATGAGCATTCAACAACAACAAAGTATGAGTGCCATGCACTATTGCATGCTCCTGTAATCCCATCGTCTTGGGAAGCCTAAAGCAGATCACAAGGTCAAGGTCAGTCTCAGCAACTTAGTGAGATCCTGTCTCAAAAATAAAAAGCATTGGGGGTGTAGTGATAAAGCACCCCAGGAATCAATTCCCAGTACCAAAAAGTATAAATAATTTAGAACGGACAGTTCTTCAGAACACAGCAGTCGGTAATGCTGGTTCTACAGTACTTAGGTTCAAACTCTATTCCAGTGCTTACTAGCTCCATGGTGGGGCAAGTTACATTCCTCCTCACATACACTACTTGTGTCTAAGCATCTGTAGGATCCTTGTGAGGCTCCTGGAACAGGACCTGGCATGCAGTGGGTACTTTTATCTTTGCTATTATCACATTATTGTTCTGGTACTAAATGGATCCACAGCTGTTCTTTGAAAATCAGCAATGTCATTCTCTTTTGATCCAATAGCCTGGGCAGTAATTAGACTTTATACCGAAGCCAATACAACTCAGATCTGCATCCAAAACCACCCCCCAAAAAGGTCTTAAGGCGCTGGGCGCAGTGGCGCACACCTGTAATCCCAACAGCTCTGCAGACTGACAAGAGGATTGCAGGTTCAAAGCAAGCCTCAGAAACAGTGAGGTGGTAAGATGGGGACGTGACTCTGTGGTTGAGTATCCTAGAGTTCAAGCCCCAGTACCAAAAAGGTCTCAATGCTCTGTCACCACTCTATCCTGTCTTCATAACTAAGTTCAACCAGCCTTCCCTGTAAATAAGGGAACCAGTAATCATCTCATTCACCAAACAAACTAATAGCAACTCGATCCTGGGATTCCCACGACTGAGCTGTTATCTCATCCCTTTCAATGAAGTCCTCAACAGAACACAGGATAACCTGGAAGTTTTGTCGTTTTGTTTCGAATACCCATCTACTCCCTGCTAAACAGGTTCTTTATAAACATCACCTGTTTATAGAGCCACAACAGGGTGCAGACAACTGTGATGTCAGCCAGTGTCACTCGTTCGCCCACAAGAAAAGTCCTCGTCTTCAAGTGAGCATCCAGCAGCCCCAGAATTCGCCTCACCTCTTCCTTTGCATTTTCAGTGGCCTATTGATTTAAACACTCAAATTTAATCAGCAGTTACCAATCTCTTTTCTTCACTCCCCTCACCAACAGAACTAAAGTAGGTACTCCACTGTATCCTGGCTCATCCCCACCCTTAGTCTAGGATCATTCTGAATGCATCATGAATGAAGCTCTTGATGTTAAACTTCTCCATGGTTTCTCTGGCTTCATTTCCCACTGTACTGATGGTAATCATTTATAGGAAGGAAACTTAAAGGTCATCTGGTCAAACTACTCCCCCTATCCCCCGAAAATCTGGCATAACCTCCCTATAGCAGAAATCCCACCTCTGATCACTTAAGAGTGGAACCACCTCCACTGGATCTGACAAGAACCCATAAACCATCTATTGCTCACCGCTCCAAACTTAAAATTCAAAGGTTATGTTTTTGCATTCCCACATCTTTTTCTCATTTTGTTTTATTTCCTCCTCTCCAACATTCAGGAACAGATACCACCTCTGCACTTGGCTTCTCCCCAAGTTCTAAAGCTCACCTGTTTGTTGTGGTGCATGATGCCCAAGGTAGGGAACACCCAGGTACTGGCTGGGGGCACTATGTCACTATCAGCAAAGCTCACCCACTGCACCACCTGGGCTGCTGCCTCTGGAGTACTTCCCCGCAGCTCCTCATTGCTCACTGCAGAGGTAGAACACAAAGGTCAAAACTTTGGGGTTATGCCAACACCAATCCAGGTCCCTGACAATTCCTCCTTGTCCACTGCAAGTTGCCCTCATCCTCTCCTATGTCCCCACCTTCAGACCCTCCCATTCCTGTAGAGCCTTGAAAATTACCATAGTAGGCGATGGCATTGCTCTCAAACACACAGAATCCATCATCACCCTCAAATGCTGGAACCTGAGGACAAAGTAATGAAAAGATAAATTACACCAGATTTCTCACTAACCAATTCCAAGAACCTAATTGTTTTGACAAAAATATTTATATAAGACTAATAACCCTTGCTTTCCAAATCATACCATCTGAAACTCAAGAACCAAAACTCATATCCCTTGCAATCTGAATTCACAATATTTGAACTAACAATTCAAACATTATGGATACTGGAATATCTGTATAAAAATCCCTCAATCAAATAATCAGAAGGCCAGAAATTAAGTCTTACATCTATGTCTAAATCTTTGAAAAGTTTTGGAGTGCAGTCCACATAGCACTTATCTCCTCTACTCTGAGTATGGTTATTACCTCTAGAAGCCTCTTGGATGGAGTAAGAATCCCACTTATAGTAAGTACTTGATATATTTGTACTGGTAACACTTGGTTAAAATACGTTCTTTCTCACAAAGACAAATAAACCCCTGAATTGCTTAAAATCACTGAGTATCTCCATTATTTTCTTTTTAAAAAGTATTTATTTATGTATTTTTTTAGTTTTAGGTGGACACATTATTTTGCCTTTATGTGGTGGATGATCGAACCCAGTGCCTCATGCATGCTAGGCAAGCATTCTACCACTAAGCCACAACCACAGCCCTATTTTCTACAACTACACACGAATCTACAACTATCTCATGGTAAAATTTTTCTTAAATTACTGAAATGTGAAAGAAAACAACATGGGAAGTCCCCTTTTAAAGATGGATGTCATCTCCAAAGTGATGGAATCCCAGGGCTTCTTCAGTTCTCAGGCTCAGAAGCTCCTCTCCAGTCCCCTACTCACCTTGCCAGCAGGAAATTTGCGGAGAAATTCAGGGGTACGGTTGGTTTGGCCAAAATGGAAATGGGGTGGTGCGGAGAGCACGCGGACCTGAGCCCCACTGTACTGAGCAGCGATGAGGGCCTTGAAGGCCCTCCAGTTTTCAGGGTATGTGTACAGGGTCTATGTAAGAGAGAGGAGAATAAAAACATGAATAGAAGGGTCCCAGTCCTAAATGCCACCCCCTCCCCAGGACTTTCCTGAGTAATTCCAATCTGTTCAATTCACTTTAACTCCGACGGGAGAACCAAGTTCTTTGGTATTTGTCACACGTAATCAGAGTCCTCTGAAATACCAAGAACAGAACTACATACCAACTGCTAAATAAAGCCTGCTGACAGATCTGACCTTCCCTAAGGACATTTAGAAACATTCTCTTCCCCTCAAGTACACCTCCAAGAAATCCAGAAACTCAGGTTCCATCAGACTCCTCTGCCTACAAACACAGACCCCTCCCGTTCCTGAGTCCTTGTTTCATTCATTCTAGGTGAACTAAACGCCTGACTACTGCTGAGCTGCGCACTGCTTCAGAAGCATTGCCCTATCTCTAGGCACGCACACAGACTGGGAGATTTCCAAGTGCCCTTCGAAACAGCCACGTTAATATCGAATGGCATGCTCTCTCTTCCTTACTACTCTTGCTAAAAAACCGTTCTTTCCTTGTCGCGCACATCATCCCTCCGGTCTTGTCCTGCAGCGAGTTCCCAAGTGTGTTCTCTATTAAACCGAACGGCGATGTCCAATTAGCCCGACTTCACTGTCCCGAGTCTCTTCTCGCTCCCAAACCTCTCTGACATGAACCTTAGTACTGCCAGTCGTCCCTACCCACAAAGACCCTCCTCTCTTCACCCTGTCCCCGTTGCTGCCCTGCAAAACGATCACAAAAGTTCCATCAACCTGCTCAAATCACACTTCTCAAAGCCACAAAGAAGCCGATCCATCTTTTTCAGGCTTCAGAGCGCGCGAACCCAACATCTCTTTTCTCTTCCACCCCAGAACCTTCCACCTTTGGCTTTGGAGAGCCCCAGCCTCAGTTCCCCTCCAGGCCCTAGGAACCCTGTCTCCGACAGTATGGTCTGTAGACCCCGAATCAGCGATCCACTTGGCTCCAGAACTCCTCTGACCGCGACTGGACCCAGTCCGGCAGAGGATGGCGGCGGATAGGGTGAACCGGATCACCCGAGCCGGCAAACTTACCCCAGCCGCCATGGTGATTCCGCAGAGAAAGGGGGTGGGGCTCTCGATGCTGCCGCAAAGTAAGCCGCCAGGAAGAGAAGGGAGGGGGGAAGGGGAGAGCCATGGAGAAAACAGCCGGAAAGTGAGGACGACACAGAAGGCATACGCACGACAGTTCCGTATCCAGCAGCGCTGAATTGGAAAAAGAAAGGGGTGGGGCCTGCTGGCCTGCGCGGAAAAGGCTCGCGCCTGCGCAGGGGAGTTCTTAGCTGGCCCGCCCCGCAGGCGTAGCCGACCAATCGGAATCCGACAGGAGGTACAACGCACCGAGGGAACGGAAAGTGTGAGAACCAGCTGGAAAAGCTGCCCCTTCATAGCTACGTGGCGCGGCTGCAAGCCTCGCGCGGCGCAGGCTCCTGGCGTGGTGCCTGCGGGTTCTTTCGCCCGCCCACGACGGAAGATTCGCTGGTAGGTTCCGCTGAGCCCCTCACACCATGATTGTGTGAAACCCAGAAGAGTTAGAAACTGCTGCGGGGAGGTGGCAGTTTGAGAAATTCCTTTGTTTCGCTTGTTTTCTCTAGAAAGGGATGCATATCTAATTAGGGCCCAAGTCAGAAACCCCTGAAAGGTAGGTTTGCTCCCATTAAACCTCCTTGCAGCTCCGGGATGCCGTTAGGGCACCGGATCTCTGCCATGTCCCTTCCACATTCTTCAGGAGGCTGGCTTGGCCATTAAGAGCTGAGGATTGTCGAACTGCGACGCAAGGCAGTTCCGTTCTGTGTGTTTATGCGGGGGGTACTGGAGATGGAACCCAGGGACATTCTACCACTTAACTGCATCCTCAACTTGAGACAGGGTCTCACTAAATCAACCAGGCTGTCCTCAAACTTGCGATCCTCCAGTCTCAGCCTCTGGGATAGCTAGGATTACAGGCATGCACCAACACTGAGGCTGACAGTTATGATGGGTTGCCTTTGGGGGGGCGGGTGTACTGGCGTCTAAGTCATTGTGCTACATTTCCCAGTCTTTTTGAGACAGGGTCTCACTAAATTGCAGAGGATGGCCCCAAACTTGTGATCCTCCTGTCCCAGCCCCCTGAGTCGCTGAGACTACAGGCATGTGCCAACCAGACAGGATTGATAGGGGTTTTTTTACCCATATTCAGGTTTGACAAATCTTTTAGCCAGTTTAAGAGTAGGATGAACTTTCCTATTAAAGGAGAGACCAGATGAACCCAAATTTCCAGCCATGTCACTTATTCATAAACGTGGGGTGGGGCAGCAGGGTAATTGTGGAGGCAAATTGGTTCTAGCAAGTACTGATCAACCCACCATAATATCATTCAGGAAATGGGGTGAGGGGGGACCCAGAACCACCATGCTTATTTTAGGGTAGTTGGATCAGACAGGTGGGAAGGCTGCATGAAGTCCTGGGAACAGGCAGGAAGAAAGGGTAGAAGGATTCATACCAGGTGAAAATTAGAGAAAACTAGAAAGTATCTGTATTAAACTAGCAGCTTTATTGCCCTTATGGTCCATGTCCTCAGAGGAGTTTTCTAAGTGCTTGAGGGAGAAAAACCTGTAAGAAATGATGGAGATCAGGGAACAGGCCTTGGGAGTCCCGGAGTGGAGTCACGGTGAGAGTCTGGTCAGCCTCGGAGGCCGATGCCACAAAGGCCAGGAGGGGTTCAGTTTCTGGTCTCTGTTCACAACAGTTCAGCCCCCCCAGTTCTTGGGTCACCTGAGCCTCTACTGCCAGCCATTCTGCTCCCACGCCAGCATTGCCTCCATCTCCTTCCTTGGTTTGCTGCTGCAAGCGTCTCCGAGCACGCCGTCGCCCCTGCCATACTCGATGCCACAAGGCACAGCGCCAGCTCACTGAAGACAGGGAAGATGCCCCCTTCCCTGTCTCGCCCTTCATCTCTTCTTGGGCCACCTTAGGTCCCATGGGTCCCTGCTCAGCCAGCAGCACTACATGGCCTGGCTGTCCCTCTTCTCCAGTGGCTAGATACTTTCTGGTCATCAGGGGTGGTTCCCCTGATTGCCCAGGACTCTGCATGGCCCAGTCTTGTGGTGTCTCTCCAACCTCTATAACCATTTCTTCCACCCCATCTTCACTGTGGTCCCCTACACATCCCTGCTGCTCCTCTTTTCCCTCCTCACAGCTCTTTTTCTGTCCATCAAGTTTCAATCTTTTGTTCGTCCCTCCCTGGAGAGACTCTTCAATCCCACATCCTTCTGACCGTGGTCTCTTGGTTCCCTGTTCTATATGGCATCCCAAGGCTTCTCTTAACACCTGGACCACAGCAGCACTGAGCTGGGGAAAGGGAAAAGGGGGTAAGGGGATGGGCATGGCAGACAGCAAGGAGCTCGGAGAGCTGGGCTGCAGAAGGGGGAGCAGCCCCCAGTCCCGACCCCTAGAGGAACGGTGCTGGTACTGGAGGCTTCGGCAGTAATTAGCTGCTGCTCGGCAGCAATTCTGTAGTCGCCCAACCACCCGGCTGGTCACGTTGGCTGCAACATTGTGACTCAGGTCAAAGGGGTCCTGGAGATTCATGGGGCCAAGGCGCAGACCTTCCCAAAGATTAGAGGGCAGGCCCCCTGCCACTGGCAATGCCTGACCCTCCCTCAGGGATAGCAGTGAGCCAGCAAGATCCCAGCCAGAAACGCAGGAGAAGAACTGAGCCAGCAGGGAACCTGGAGGAGGAGGTGGATTAGGGAAAGGGGGTCAGTTGGAAGCTGGAACTGAGACTGAGACAGGTCCTGCACCATAGCTACTTCCTTAGCAGGACTTTCTTTTTCCCTCCCAAGGGGCTCAGAAAAGTCCTGGGAAACCAGGCTTCTCTGTTCTGATCCCTATAAACAAAAAGTCAAGCCTCCCTTCCTACACCCCAGCCATGTCCTTTCCCAGATGCTTCTCCCTGCCTTTACTAGCAGAGTAGCTTCAGGCAAGCCACTGAACTGCTCCAAGGCATGGACTATAGAGACTGAGATTATTAACAGTCCTCCCCAGACTCACTGAGGGGCTCCACATTGGTACTGGGCTCCAGTCTTGAGGCATCCCTGGGGAAACTACAGTCCCAGCCATCAACTTCCACTTGCTCTCCCTCACCTGTGAAAGCAAAAAAGGAGGGGGTCAGTTGGAAACAGGAAGATTAGAGGAATGAGGGGTTGTAATCGGGTTGACAGCAGAAATCTCATTCCATGGTGGCTTTATAAGGAAGCAGAGGCACAAAACTGATGAAGTAGAAGGTGGAGGCTGGGCTGAAATACCTGCTTTTTGGGTGAGTTGGGACACAGTGGGCAACACAGGAGGGTCCCTGGTCTGAAGGAAATAGATCACAAGCAAGGTCAAGGCGTAGTTATTCAGAAGCGGGCCACTCCCTGTATAAATAATCAATCATTCCAGTTAGGGAAGAGGTGTTTCCAAACCCCTCATTGGCAGTTTTTTCAACCCTGGTTCCTATGTGCACCCTTCTCTCCCTGAATCCTTCGTTCTGATATCCAACTCAGACCAAGTCTATTCTGATTCATCCTTACCTGACAGCCCTCGACCCTGAGCCCAGCAGCGGAGAGTATACACAAGGGGCCGGACTCGCCCATCCAGCTCAGAGCAGAGACTCAAAAAACGGGAATTATGTAGGGCTAGCCTGGAACAAAGGAGACAAGGGTGTTAGGGCTTGGGAACCTATCACCGTATTAGCTCTCATTCCAGACTTAGGGCCAGCTGCAATAAAATAAAGAATGTTTCCCAAAGTGTTACCAAAATACTGGTCTTACTCTGGGCAGAGTGGTGCACTCCTGTAATCCCAGTAACTTGGGAGGCTGAGGCAAGAAGATCACAAGTTCAAGGTAAGCCTCAGAAACTCAGCCAGACCAAAACAGAAGGATTGCAAGTTCAAAGCCAGCCTCAGCAAAAGCGAGGCTCTAAGCAACTCAGTGAAACCCTGTCTCTAAATAAAATACAAACTAGGGCTGGGGATGTGGCTCAGTGGTTGAGTGCCTCTGAGTTCAACCCCTGGTACCCCACCCACCCCCACCAAAAAAAAGTCAGGGCTGAAGATGTAGCGCAGTGTTTGAGGAAGCCCTGTATTCAATCCCTAGTACCACACACAAAAAAATTATGTCAAATGAACTTGGGTAGGGCTGGGGATTTAGCTCAGTTGTAGAGTGCTTGCCTCAAATGCACAAGGCTGTGGGTTCAATCCTCAGCACCATTTAAAAAAAAAAAGAATTTGGGTAGCACAATAGTCTATACGCTCATCTTCGCCATTCACAGAGCTGCTATTTATTACAAGACCTCTCAGAGCCTTTAATAAACAAAGCTATACAGTAAGGAAAGAAGAAAGAACGGGGAAGGGGAAGAAGGGAAGAGAGGGAGAATCCTGTCTGAATTTAACTTTACCTTTCCCAAATTCATGTAGTCACAGAACTCTCTTCTACTTCTTCTAAAAACAGTATTTCAAAGAACACACTTTACCAACATTGAAATGAAAACCAGATAAGAGAGGTAAATGGCAGAGATAGAACCAAACAAGGACCACTTGACTTAGCAGATACAGAAGATTCCCAAGTCAGGACTCCTCCCCAGCACCCCAGAACTCAGCTAGTCTTTCCCCACCAGACACAAAGGTACCGGTTACTGAGGGAGACGTCACCATGAAGACCAGAAGGTCGATGGCAGAACTTGACAACAGGGCGCCGGGCAGAAGGCACAGTTTGGACTCGGTACACCCCAGGGACACAGCCCCGGAGAATGGATCCCACGAGCTCCAGCATTGCTGCTCCCTCTGGCTTCTCCCCCTTTGGGGCCTCTGCTAGTTCCAGGGCCTTTCCCAGGTCCTGCTCTCCCCTGTCTTCCTGCAGTGGTGAGGCTGGAGGCAGGGACTGGGGAGAGGCAACAGTCTCAGAGGCCAAAGCCGAGTCCGGAGTCTGGGGTGCCAGGGAGGAGGAAGGAGTTCCACAGTCCAGGGCTTCAGAATCTTGGGGAGAAGCTGGAGACTGTGAGCCTAGAGGGGAGGCTAGGGCACAGGCCAGGGCTTGAGGATCCAGTGGAGAAGCAAGGGCTGAGTCCAATGATGGAGACTCGGGAGCCTTTAAGACTGACTGTGGATAGAAATGAGCTGTGTGAATGCCTCTCCTACTATCCCCTAATCAGGGGACATCTCTGACCCCAAGACAGTATCTATACTTAACGGTTATTATATGCCAGTCTCTATTCTATGGGCTTTACATATATTAACTCATTTTCTCCTTCCTCCTAGCAATCCTTTCTTAAAATAAACTTTAATCCTATAAAATGGTCTATATTTTACAAAACTATCATTGTCATGAAAGACAAAGAAAGGCAGAGGAACTATTCCAAAATAAAGACTAAAAATACAACAGGACAATGTCAGGACAGCTGTACCAGTATAACATTTCCTGGACTTGATCACTGTACTGGGGTTACACACTAGAGTGCCTTTGTTCTTAAGTAATTCACATTAAAATATTAAGGGTAAAAGGACATGATGACTGCAACCTTCTCTTAAGTGATTCTGAAGATATAAATTGTGTGTATGTAAAGAAATAGAGATTGGCGTTTTTCAAGAAAACAACCAACCCCTAGCCAGGCTAGATGAGGCATGCCTGTAATGCCAGCCAACTCAAGAGGCTGAGGCAAGTTTGAGATCAGCCTCTGCAACTTAGCAAGACACTGTCTCAAAATAAAAATTTAAAAAAGGTCTGGCAATATAGCTCAGTAGTACATAATCCCTAGGAAAGAAAGAGAACACAACTCTTTTTGGGGTTGGGGATGTAGCTTAGTGGTATATCACTTAGTTAGCATGCCTGAAGCCCTGGGTTCCATCCCAGCACTGCAAAGAAAACAATGACACTTTTTGTGGGGGCAACAGGTATACAGGAACTCTACTTTCTGCTTCACTTTTCTAAGAACCTAAAACTGGCCTAAAAAAATAAAGTCAATTATTAAAAAATAACCATAGCCCTTTCCTATTCCAAAAATAAAATGTGTACATTAGATGTCAGAAAATATACATAAGCAAAAACATAATCCTAAAATTACTCTATAACCTTTTATCCATCCATATTCACATTTCTCCAATAACAATAACCCTTTCACATATGTCCCATTATTCCCATCTTTATAAATGTAGAACTAAGGCAGAGAGGTTAAGAACTTGCCCACAGTCATATGACCATTCCCTGCCTGCCTCCCTGATCACTCACCTGGGGCTCTTCCAAGTCACCCAGATCCAAGAAGAGGTCAAGATCACAGCCATGGACATCAAAGCTGTTTATGGACGAGCCAAAAGGATGGACCACACAGCCTAAGTGCCAAGCAGAGAACAAAGGTTTGATTCTCAGCACCACATTAAAAAGTAAGTAAATAAATAAAGATATTGTGTCTCCACCTAAAACTAAAAAATACATATATTTTTAAAAAGGTGCAGAAACATTAGGGAAGAGCAGGAGACTTCAGAACACAGTGGAGTACAAAAATGAAAGACCAATCAAATAAACACCTCCAGGTGAGGAGACCTACGTATTCAGACACGGCAGAGCAAAGGACAGGAAGGGATCACACGCTGGGGAAGGGGACTTACCAGGGAAGAACTCTGTGAAGACCTCCTGCATCAGGGCCACCACAAGGCTCCGAAGCTGCTGCTCAGCCTCAGACAATTCCCTCAACTGGACAAGTTTTACCATCTGTGCTTCCACATCTGGAGCCTCAGCTAGTGCTTTCGCCAGCTGGTGACTATCAGGCACTGCTCCTTTGGGGGATTTGGAGGCTGGACTCTGGAACTCCTTCTGCTCCCGTGGCCGGACCCGCAAGCGATGTCCTCCCAGGCTGTGTTGGGATTGTGATAAGACAGCCTCCCGAGCACCCATGTCTCCCATCTCCACAATGGCAAATACTCCCTGGCAAACCACAGGAATGATGGTTTTGCAACCAAGAATCTAAACACATGCTCCCACAAAGTATAAGATTCTTTGAAATGCAGATTAACCCATGCATTGGGAATATGTACTTGTTTTCATTAACAGGGAACCTATTTAGAAAAGCAATTGTTGGGCTGGGGTTGTGGCTCAGTGGTTAGAGCGCTCGCCTCGCGTGTGCAAGGCCCTGGGTTTGATCCTCAGCACCCACATAAAAATAAATAAATAAATAAAGTTTAAAAAAGAAAGAAAAGCAATTGTCTCTCAGAATTCTCATACATCATATTCTCACCCCAGTATGCCTCTGGAAAAATCTCATTTATTGTTCCTTATTTTTCCCAATAATATGATTTCACAAGCTATAATATGATCCATTCCTTAACTCTTCCTGGTTTGACTTAACATTTATGAAAACTCCATATAGGCTGGGTGCAGTGGCATACCCCTGGAAACCCCAGCAACTTAGGAAACTGAAAGTTCGAAGCCATCCTCAGAAACTTGGCAAGACCCTGCCTCAAAATCAAACATAAGCTGGATGCAGTGGTGCCCACCTAAAATCCCAGTGGCTCAGGAAACTAAGGCAGGAGGATCACAAGTTCAAAGTCAGCGTCAGCTGGCTTAGTGAGGACCTAAGCAACTGTGTGAGACCCTGTCTCAAAACATAAAAAGGGCTGTGGATGTGGCTCAGTGGTTAAGCACCTCTGGGTTCAATCCCTAGTACCCAAATAAATAAGACTGGGGATATAGCTTGGAGGAAGTGAACCCGGGTTCAATTCCAGTACAAAAAAAAAAAGAACCACATGGCACTGGGGGTTAACTCAATGGTAGACCACTTGCCTCGAATGAGCAAGGCCGTGGATTCAATCCCCAAGACCACACACACACACACACACACACACACAAAAAATCTTTAAGAATCTGTGTGGAGCTGGGGATATAGCTCAGCATTCAGTAGTAGAGCACAGCATAACATTTGTAAGGCCCTAGGTCAATCCCTAGCACACACACAAAAAAATCTATGTTACGCACACTTCCAGGCATGAATGTAAATACATAAATCTGATCTTCAAGGGATTTAGCATCTAGAAAAAACAGCAATATAATGGCCAGGCTTCTATGATTTGAGTGAATTCAATCATAATCATTGGACCATGTTTTTGTTTATTTAGTTGTCGGTGGACTTATTTTATTTATATGCGGTGCTAAGGATTTAACCTAGCCTCATAAATGCTAGGCAAGTGTTCTGCCGCTAAGCCACAACCCTAGTCCTGGACCATATTTTTTAAAGGTAAAATGTTAGCAGAAACAGTAAAAACATGAGTGTTTGGGGGCAAAATGCATTATTCTTTTATGTCTTCTCCAGTAGTAAAGCTGGAGCCAATATCCTCATTATAAAAAAGGACCCTCAGTTGAGTGCAGTGGCACACACCTGTAATCCCAGGAACTTGGGAGGCTGAGGCTAGAAGACTGCAAGCTGAAGGCCAGCCTGGGCAACTTAATATGATCCTGTCTCAAAAAACATTTTTTAAAATTTTAAAAGCTGGGACTATAGCTCAGGGTTCAATCCAGAGTACAAAAAAAAAAAAAAAGTCATCCTGTAACAAACACAATGTGACAGTGGCATAAAAGACGAAGGGAATGGAACTGAGTCACACAAATAAACATGCACATCTCCAGTCAATGGATTTTCAACAAAGGTGCCAAGACCCAGGAGGAAAAAAACAGTCTTATTGATAAATGGTGCTGGTCAAATGGATAGTCATATGCAAAAGAATGATATTGGACCTTTACCTCATACCATATACAAAAAAATCAACTGGGGGGGCTGGGGTTGTGGCTCAGAGGTAGAGCACTTACTTACCTAGCATGTGGGACGCACTGGGTTTCTCAACATCGCAAATAAATAAATAAAATAAAGGACTATTGACACAACACCTTTATTTTATTTATTTTTATGTGGTGCTGAGGATCAAACCCAGGGCCTCACATGTGCTAGGCAAGTGCTCTACTGCTGAATTGTAACCCCAGCCCTGACAATTAAAACATATTTAAAAAAAAAGAAAAATCAACTGGGGGAATGGCCTCACCAGCACATAGGCCTGAGTCACAGATGGGGAGTGACCAAAAAGGGTATGAGATTTTTTTTTTTTTTTGAGGTAGTAAAATCATCTTGGAATTATATAATATTGATGATTGGAGAGTGTTAATAAATATAGTAACCACTGAATTATATACTTTTCTTTGTAGTATTGTATTGGTGATTGAACCCAGGCATGCTGTGCCACTGAACTATGTCCCCAACGCTTTTTTATTTGTCTTGAGACAGTCTTGCTAAATTGCTGAAGCTGACCTCAAACTTGTGGTTCCTGAGTCGCTGGGACTGAATTATATACTTTTAAAGGGTAACTTTTTATGCGATGTAAATCATATCTAAATTTAAAATCATATCTCAATTATCCTTTCCTCCCTCACTTCTACCTTTATGCCAAACAGAGTAAAGAAACTAAGTGAAGCCAAAGACAAAGGCAGCTACTTGAACATGCACAGGCTAGTCTCTCAGGAATCATAAAACACCAGACCATAGTTCAACATCAAGTTTGCAACCAAAGCCCCAACTAGAAATTAAGTTTCCCTTTGCCTGGCCTGGTCTTGATGCACACATTTCTTTCAAAAACTTCAGGGAGAGGAGAATTAGCAGATTCAGAAGGCTGTATGTGTCTTGGCCCTTTTTCCCTTCTCAGTGCCCCCATCCCTAATTAGAGCTAGCATTTGTTTAGAGCTTATTTTAAATCAAGCAGTTCACACACTCTACTTCTAAGGCTCATATGTATTATTTCCATAATAAACACCTCTAAAATTTAGAGAGGGCAAAAACTTGTGGCTGCCTCCCAAGTATTTCTTAAACTCCAGAATTTCCAACTTAATTATTTATAATATATTGTTAATATATATTTAAATTAATATTATGTGTTATATATCAATATATAATTCATATAACTATATTAGCTTCAACATATTGATTAAATAACTAATTAATGGGAAAGATCATTCTTTGCAGAAGAAATAATTATCAACAAAAATGGGGACACTGAGGTTTCTGAAGAAGTAACTTGGGGGGGCTGGGGATGTGGCTCAAGCGATAGCGCGCCCCCCTGGCATGGGTGTGGCCCGGGTTCGATCCTCAGCACCACATACAAACAAAGATGTTGTGTCCGCGGAAAACTAAAATGTAAATAAAATATTTTTTAAAAAAAGTAACTTGGGGAAGACACTGACAACTGTCCACCCAATATGCATTTTCTTTCTTTTTTCTTCCTTATTAACAGAACCCTGACTTTGTTCAGAAACAAAGTGCCCATCTGAAAAAACTTAATTTCATAGGCTTCCCTACAGCTAGGGGTAACATGTGACAGAAGTCTGATTGAGGAAATATAAGAAGCCTAGCAAGAAAGTCTCAGAAGGAAGGGGAAAAGGGTGTCAGAATCAGCAGGCATTAGCCTTTTATACTCTGCCCTTCAACCTAGTGAGAGCCACATGTCACGTCAATACTGACAGAGCAAGAAAACAATAAAACCATGGACTGCCCAGGCTAGACTTCTTGTTACTCAAGAAAAATGAAGCTTTTATCCAAGCCACTTGAAATTTGGTTGCTTAATGGAAGCACTAATAAAATCTTCTAAAAGACCTGGTCTGCTAAAGAAATATGGATAACTTTTTGTGTGTGTGGTACTGGGGATGGAACCCAGGGCCTCAGGCATGCTAGGCAAGCACTCTACTACTGAGCTATTCCCTCAGCCCCTAAGCCCCTAAGTGATCACCTAAGCCCCACCTATATAATCAGAATGAAGCTTCAGAACCACAATATTACCAAACAATACAGAATCACAATAGTGGATTTGTTTCAAGAGACTAAAGAAACAGTAACAAAAGGTTTGCATGGAAGCAAGGCAAAAAATACTACCACAAACAAGCTTGTTTGTCTAGCACTGTCCAGGTCAGGTTTTTCTGACCAAATCACCACAGATCTTAATGTAGTTATTGCCAATGGTATAGTAGTCTATAAGCACCAGTTTTTCACTATAATTATTCATTACATTGTTTACTTTTTCCTCTAGATTATAAGCTCTGTACAAGCAGGAACCACATCTATCCCATTCACTACTCAGAATGCAGTCCTAAACACAGGAACATATAAAATACAGGGGATGGGAAAGGGGTGAGAATCTCACAAAGCTATCTGAAGTTATGTGGAATCCACGAAGGACAAGCCACATTAGGAACCAGCCAAAGCAAACTGCTAGTTTGTCTCTTTTGGTATAAAGCACACCTGACTCACTCTACCCCCAAAGCTATTCACTCTACCTTGTCTTTGTCCATGACAACACTGGCCACAGGTCCAAATGCCTGGAAGTACTCAGAGAGCTGGGCAGAATTCACATCCCTGGGAAAGCCACTAACAAACACACTTCGAAGTCCCTGGGCCTTTCTGGCAGCTCGAAGTTCTACCAGATGCCGGTGCTTCCGGCCTCCCAAGTGGGCATCTAGGCTGGGTCCTGCAGAAACAAGTGTGAGACAAAAACATCCAAATTATTCTTCAGTGTATCTGTCTTCTGGCTCTGCTCTGTGCATACTTAAATCCTACTGATACTTTGAAGTCACAGAAAGTGTGACCTTTAAATAAACAGTGTGACCTTTAAATAAACAAAGTCCTGGCTCCCTTCATATTTGACATTCTTATCTATTTGTCTATATGGTACATTATCTTAAGTGGTTTCCAGGAGAACTGCGACACTACAAGTAGTTCTTAACTAAATCCATTATGTACATCATCCTGTATTTCAGACACCTATAAAATCATTCAATTTAGGGGCTGGGGTTGTAGCTCAGAGGTAAAGTGCTTGCCTAGCACATGTGAACCCAGCACATATGGTACTGGGTTCAATCCTCAGCACCACATAAAAATAAATAAATAAAATAAAGGTATTGTGCCCAACTACAACTAAAAAAACTAAATATTTTTTTAAAACATTATTCAGGTTCAGGCTTTTTTTCATTTATGTTTTTTGGTGCTAAGGATTACACCCAGGGTGCTCTACCACTGAACTACATCACCAGGATTTTTTAATTTTTTGTTTTGAGACAGGGTCTCACCAAGTTGCTGGCCTTGAATTTGCAATCATCCTGCCTCAGCCTCCCAAGTCACTGGGATTACAGTTGTGTGCCACCACACTGATTCAATTTAAAATTTTATGGGTGTCCTATATATAGACTGATGGAACATAAAGGGTTAAACCATCAATAAATAAATTTCATGTGTGTGTATATATATGTGTGTGTATATATATATATATATAAAATGCTAGGTAGAATAACACCTGAAAATTATAAAGAAATTTAACAGGCAACTTATCCAAGTCATATAGAGAAGAACTGAATAAATATAAGTTCCTGGATGATCGTCATGAATCAAATGTGGATATGTGAATAGTGACTACAAGTATAGAATATGAAACTGCACTGCCCAAGTTCAAATCCCAGCCCTGTGAAGCTGTGTGAGTCTTGGCCAAGTTGCTTAACCTCTTTGTGCATCAGTTTCCTCAGAATAAAACGAAGATTAAAAAAGTACCTACCACAAAGCTATTATTCATATATAGCACCTGGCAGAGAGTCTGATACATGGCCAAAAGTGGAAAAATTAGCTGCCAGTATTATTTTTATTACCAGTCAGCTGCTTGATGTCACCAAAGTATCTGTGGGGTCAAGAAAGACTCCTAGGGTAGAGGGGAGGATGGGGGGGTAAGAAAGATGGTGGAATGAGATGGTCATCATTACCCTAGGTACATGTATGATTGCAGGAATGGAGTGACCCGACTTTGGGAACAACCAGAGAAATGAA